GCGGCCCGCTTTTCCGGGAGGCCTGGTCGGGGGGGCAGGCAGTGGTTCCAGATGCTGCAAAGCCTGCAGGTGCCTGGTCAGTCACCGGTGATCTCGCCGGGTTCCCAGGGCCTTCGGGGGGAGCGCTCGTTATCCAAAGATCGTCTGTAGGTTGCAGACGGCCTCAGTGTCTGTTTTCCCAGGAAAGCATCCTTCTGTTTGGTCAGCTTTCTCCAACTCTTTTTTTTTGTTCCCATTCTCATAAAGATCCTGAGAGCATCTAGATTTTCTTCTGGTTACATTACCCCTGGGAGGTTGTGATGTGCAAAAACTCTGTACATTTCTATATGATGGGCTCGTATTTGTTAATGGTCTCGGCTGGAGGTGATGGAGAGTCAGTTCACGCGACCCTCCAGGGCGGATTTCACTGGTTCATTTAACTGGGAAGTTCAGGGTTCTGCCTTTGACTCACTAAGATCCATGAGTTCAAACGGTATTAGGAATCTCTTGTTCTCTGTTTTTTTTTTGGCGGCATTCTCAGAAAGACTTTCTTGCCATGGTGGCCAGGAAGGCAACCTCAACTTCAGAAAGAGAGCATCGCTTTCATGGTAGCTGCAGTAGACAGCCAGGCGGGGGCCCCGAGCTCACCCCTGGAGCTAGGGAGCGCGGTCAGCCCTCTCCTGCCCTGAGCAGATAGGTTCAAAGGGCAAAAGACAGGAAACAGCCCCCACTGCCCGAGTGTCAGATTCAGCGGTCCGTCAGAAGTGCCCCGTCCCATGCTGCGCCTTTTTGGGAAGAGGCGCGAAGTCCACTCATCAGACCAAGAAGGATGGCGGAACGGGGGTTCCCACCTGATACCCAGCTCACGTAGTTAGTATTGAATTCAAACCGAGGGGCCTAACACTCTCAAGCTGGTGCCTGCAAGTTCTGGGTTTCCTTTGGCCATTTAAATAGCCTGGAAATCAAGCACGAAGTTGAAGCTTTGCTGTGGGGTTTGCAGTGCAAGATCTTGCTTCCCTCGTTCCTACTCTGTGACTTTGGACAGACCTAATCCGGTTTACCCAGCTGTCCAGTGGGGATGATTGGTCCTTGGTGGATTTGCTGGGATTGAATGAGAAGCATTGATCTGGCTCAAAGGTCAGTTACATCCAATCATAGGAAGTTCTCAGGGTATATGTTAGGATCCTTGGAAAGGATGTAAAATATTTATGGAAGATGCATTAATTCTTCCAGGCGACTGTTGGAAAATGTCACTTTCAGTGGCCAGAAAGAGGGCATGGAACTTCCCCGAGTACCCAGCTATCCTTTGGGAAGAAGTGTCTTCGTTTGGGGTTCTGACTTAATCAGCCATTTCTTTTACCAGTAACTTGGACGTGGACCCTGAAGACCTACCACCCAGTGTGATGTGACATTTTGCTTCTTGTCATCCTGGTGTGTCTTGGAAGCATTGCACAGCATGGGTGTTCCTGTGTTTACCACTAGGAACAGTCAGGGCTGGGGTTTAAAGAAAAAGAAGAGGAAGAAGAAATAACTGCTTCCTTTATTTGCTTCGGAGGAAGCCTGCCTAACAGAGTTAATCATCTCGGCACTGTCCTTCGGGGCTTGGCGGCGGAGCGGCCGTTCTCTAACGAACTGTGGTCATTTGCGTACTGAGACCTCAGACTTGAAGGCAGCTCTGGAAATGTTGATTGCTTTTTAAAATGAAAATTTGACTTGATTTATTCAATATCCCCTCCCCCACTAGCACACATATCAAGTTGTTCTTGTTTTTTTTGTTTGTTTTTAATTGGGAAAACATGTCCTTTCTGATTTTGGTTTTAGTGGTATCACTGCATGAATCTCTTCCCAGTCCCTTTCAACATTTTTTTTTCAATTTGATGAGTTCAGATTAAATATGAGTGCTGAAATTGATCTAATTTGCAGTAAGAGGCAAGCCTGTCTGCTTTGTCTGGGTCTTGCCACCCTCCCATCCGCCACCTCCCAAGCCCGAACTTCCAAATGCATTTTGCTCCTTTCAGCGGCACTAAAGCAAAGAGTTCGTACCAAATGCCCCTGGACCACCTATTTGAAGTCCCAGACCCCCAGGAAAGTATTACTACGGAGGCCCTCCTTCCCTCTCACCGTCTGCAAAGACGCTCTCAAGCTGGTCCGAGAAATTGCTCGTGTGAAGCCCACTGAAGTCCTACTCGATGTATTTGGCTCTTTCCTCCTTGCTTATCTGCGCCATTGATGGGAACAGACGTGCCAAGGAGATTGTTCTTGGAGCAGGGATGTCCAGAAAGACGGCCGGCTACCCATAGGCCCGGACCGACCGCTTCGTGCTTTCTCCGCGGGCTGTCGTGGGGCCCGATGCTGCTGAGACAGAAAGCTATGGCCTCCGGTGTGACGCCAGGCAGGACTTGCCCCTTGGAAATCTTTCGGGAGGTTGCAGGAAGAGATTGCTTGGCCTCTGCTGCCCTCCTTCTGCCACAGAGCGCTCCCGGGGAGTTCATGTTTCTCCACGGAAACAACGCCCTGCAGGAGAAGCCCACCAGAGACCGTCCTGCATCTGGGTTAAGAATTTCATGTAATCCATCAAACTGCCTGTCATCAGGCTGACAGGTGGCAGGGAACTATGTGGCTGTTTTGGGAACTGAGCTGCAGATGCGGGAGACGGCAGGACCAGTCCACAGCGAGGGAAAGGCCAAGAGCCCCTCTGCCTTCTCCCCATTGCCAACCAAAATCCACTCTTCTTTCTGTCGTGGCCTTCAAGCTGGACTTTCCAAACACATGCACCAAACAATGGGTTTAATCCAAAGTCTCCCTGGATGGGTTTCGCTTGTCCTTGCTTCTCTGCCGCTGTCTGCTCCAAGGCAGTGATGGATGTGGGCTGCGTGGTACTTCTCCAGTGGGCTAGCATACCGTCGGACAGCATCGTTCATCGTTTTCACACACGTTGCATTAGTCCTGGTCCAAGCCGTGCTACGCAGCCCACGGGGATTCCTGGGACCCTGGCAGTTCATCTCGGCCTCCACGGTGGCCAGCCCGCTGCTCCCGGAGCACTCACTGGGTGGTCTCTTTCCACCTGCTGCATCCCATCCTCTTTCCTAGCATCTTTCTCTTGAGGGCCACGATTTTGTCCCCTGGGAAACTCTGAGACCGCCTGGCCAGCCCATTGCACGGGTTATGAACAGAGGGCCTTGAGGGATGGTTCCCTGTGGTGATGCTAGGTAACTGATGCAGCTAATTTTCCAGGGTCTTTCCAAGACATCTTGGGGTAGCGGCAGCTAATGTGACTTCAGTTCAGCTGGTGAGTCAGCTTTTCTGCCATGTCCACCAGCTGGCTGCCAACACTGTGACTTAGAATTGCTCTTTGTTTTGACAGGTGGATAGTTTTGAAACATGTCCTGCCACTTTTAACAATTCACATAAAATTGGATTATTATGTGACCTGGGCCCCTTCCACCCCTGACGCTTCTGTTGCCATCGCTCAGCTCTGCTGACTGTCAGTGAACCAGCACCTTCTCAAGACCCCCTCTGTCCTTTGCAATGAGATCTTTGATTCGGTTGCTACCTGTGAGCATCTCTTTGAGTAAATGCTCCTTCTGTCTCTTTCCGACACACCCAAATCTTGAAGGATCCCGGGAGAAGGTGTGGCTCTGGCTCGTGGAAACACTCTTGACTGTCTTGTTGATAGTTCACACCTTCTTTTCCTTGAATTTTCCAGTCGGGACCATTCAGTACGTTTCCAGAGTAAAGAACGTAACCAGAATTCATCAGTTTGAAAACAGTGGTGTAGGTACCTTATTAAGACTCTGACGTCTTTTGCTGTAGATTTCAGGGAATTTCAGTCCACAGACGAGGGGGTCTCATCCTTACAGGTCCGTGTTCGCTTGGCCTGTTAGCTCCTGGCAGGTGTCCCCTCTAGTTCGTCATCTGCTTCCTGGGTTAGAGTGTCCAAGATGAGAGAGCAGACCCCCGCCATGGACATCCAATGCTTGGGAAGAATGGACGTGGGTCAGGGCTGTGAATTAGCTGTTTGCAGGCCTTCAAAGGCATTGGGAATTTTAATTTGTCACTTTGATCTTGAATTAAAATTTTAGGGCCGGCAGCTTGGCTTCCAGATGTCTCAGTCAAGAGGTGGAGGCTGGTCCAAGGCTTCCTAAGTGAAATCAGGACTTTACTTTCCGTCTGGGGAGGACAGACAGTGGCATTAGCGATTTGAAAGTTAGCATCCTTTCCGACTCCATATTCATAACACTTGAAGCTCGTTTGCCATCAAGCTCCGTCAGGATCAAGGAGTGAAGCCAAGTGGAACTTTCTACCCCATCCCTAGGTTCACCCTTATGAATGTGCTAATGGCCAGTAACGCTGAGTAACAAAGAGGCAAAAGAAGACCCCTGAATAATTCACCAGCTACTGCCAACTCCTGACGGGGCGCTGGGGCTGGGGGACAGAGCTGCAGGGAGACAGAGAGGCACAGGGAGTCATAGGGCTCAGTCTTTGAGGGAAGCCTCCGTCCGTTTTCAAGATACTCAGCTCCATATTCTTTTATAATCAAGACAAAGGCCGAGAAGAGATCAGAGCCCCACCCAGATTCAATGGCACCTTAGGAGATCTTGAAATCCTGGAGTGACAGAACAGTTGTCAACAAAATCGAGACTCTGAAAATCAAGCTCTTGCCCCCTGCCCCCTCAGCACTCTGAGATTACTGACACCAGAAATCACAATCCCAGTGTGGTCCCCTGGGGG